GGTGCACATTAACATGGATCTGTTTTATTTCGCTGGTTCTTATCGGCTGCACACAATCAACGACTTTTGTCTATCAGCAGGCATATTGTAACTGTGTGATGGTCAAACGAAATGTCCGGATAATAAGGAGTCTGAAGCATTACAGTGTATATATATACGTTGTCAGGGAGACGTTCTCTGGAAGACCAGCTGAAAAGTTTGTTTTTAGTGTGGTGAGAAAATGTAACTCAGAAGGCAAAGAAAAATAATCCTCCTATGGAAGTCAAATAAAAAGAAGAGGTGTTAGAACCTAAGTTTATGAAACTATAAAACAAAGAGTGTCAGCCACGTCTCAAAACCGTTAATGCCCAGCTCTTGCTACGCCGGGCCTCTCGCTGTCCCTCGAAGCCTTTCAGAAACGCTTAGTACTAACGGACACAAAATCCAAAACACCGACTGTCGACTCGAGAATTCTTTATTCTAACACCAACATATAAACACTGTTACAACTAAGATCTGTGAACAAATATTACAATAATAAATCACAAGATTATTTCTGATGGTTTACTGCTGACTTCATTCTGAACAGCGACCGATGAGACGATGACTGGTGTATTGATGCCTCCGCGAAAATTGGAGAAGTTGGTTTTGAGCAAACAACCATGAATTGATCGTTCAATTTTCAACTACATTGACAAAGAGTTACCAGGGGATGATTCACCAGGGTGACTAAAGTCCAACGATGGATTCTATTCGGACAGCTAAGTTAGGTGTCAGTCATTTTATTGTGATAGCCTACGCAAACCGAAGAAGACTTAACCCATTTTCTTTCTTAATTATTTTGAATAATGACAGTGCGTTTACCAAGAAAGCTGTGACGATCAGGTGTTTGATAATTGGGGAACATGAACCGTTTGACCCTTCTAACCGGAAATTACTTGTCACGTGTTCGAAGAATCTGGCGTGTGCCCTCCCTTCTGTTCTTCCAACGTTACAATTTCTGCAGATACATGTGATTTGGTGTACGCGGTATGAGGTATCATATGAGGGTTAATGTCGAACTTTGGCTGAAATGACTGGGAGGATGTTGGCAGCAGACAGACTAGCTTTGGTGTACGATACGTCCTGGATAGATCCTCGCTTAATCTTTAACTTATGACTCTTATTGCATCATAGCTTTCTTAAACGAGTTTGATGAAAACCGGCTCCTTGCTGACTGGATCCGAGACTGGTTTCTTGCATTCATTCAATAAACTTGGCGATATGAATTTTACATTTTGTCTAGACCATTTGAGGTTCATTCGACCGCTGTTCCTATCTCGTCTGAATATACAGCTTTGTTAATTGAGGGCCATATTGTGTTCAGTCACTGTACCCTTCGTATCTAGATCGCAGATGGCTTCATGATTGTAGGCTTGTACCATAATTATCTGATGCATTTTCCTAAATAGAGCTATAAATCTTGCAGTTTCTTCCGGTTTCATCATAAATCTATTTGGAACAGCTAAGTTTGTCTCAGATTATAGTCAGAGACAGCCAGTCCGTATCTTTGCAATTTTATCCTTACAGCGACTGTAAAACGAAGCATGTGGTTGGCATGAACTTATTTCGAGATAATGGAACGGGGCGGGTTAAGATGTAGTCGCTGACTTCACGGATGACTTCACGCCATTCATGATGGATATTGTTTATTGCGATACACACAAATGATAACAGCCCAAATGATAGTAATACATCACTCCTGAATGTGTTGAATATCATGCAACTTGTCAATGTAGTTGAAGATTGAACGATCAATTCATGGTTGTTTGCTCAAAATCAACTTCCCCATATTTTCGCGGAGGCATCAATACGACAGTCATCGTCTCATCGGTCGCTGTTCAGAAAGAAGAGTGAAACATCGTCAGAAGTAATATAACGATTTATTATTGTAATATTTGTTTACAGACCTTAGTTGTTATAGTGTTTATATGTTGGTGTAACAATAAACAATTCTCAAGCGGCAGATCGGTGTTTTGGTTTTTGCGTCCGTTATAACTAAGCGTTTCTGAAATCTTCGAAGAACAGCGTGGGCCCGAGCGTAGCGAGAGCTGGGCATTAACGGTTTATGAGACGTGATTGACATAACTATAGGTTGATTTTATGTGAATACGCACTACCTATGTTTGACCTTGTATGGGGGCGTCTCCCACCAAATGTTTTAGCCTGCACATCACTATCGTTAGGTTTGATCTGCTTCAAAGAAGTGGATTACGTACTCACAACAGTTGTTTTAATTTTTGTAGCTGTGTACTACTGCGGTTGTAGTTTATGAACATTTCTCATCGTTAGAAATGCAACTGTGATTGGGCACTAACAACTAGCGTGATGTACCTGGTCCTCTCTTCGGTGCAGGCTGAATTCTATCGATCAGGTACGCAATGTGGCCGCCATTTTAGGTACTTAGTCATTACGTTGCTGATGTTAGATGGTTGGAGGCAATCGAAAGGTAACCTTGGCTATCCTAATTTTCGTTCTAGTTGACACTTGCCAGTCAGCGAAGCGTATTTGAAGTCTTGAGGAACTCATTTCCCTTCTGAGATTCAAACTCGCACCACCCACTGCTGCAGTCAGAGACGTTACCACTGAGCTATTCGGGCTCGCGATTGACCTATATTGGATACTTTAACTAAACTCTGGCAACTAGTGTGATGTATTTACCGTTTCTTTGGTGCAGATTGAACCCTTCCAGTCGGTCTCGGACTTCAGCACTGGGTGACGTGGGTTCGAATCCCAGAAGGGACATGAATTGCCTCAAGGCTTCAGGTACGCCTTGCTGAGTGGCGAGTGTCAACTAGGACGAAATTAGGTTAGCCAGGGCTTCCTTTCGATTGCCTCCAACCATTGAATATCATCAAGGATATGTAATTGATTTTTTATTTCGTTCACTGAGCATGGCTTACAAGCGAAGTTATGTTAATCTGGATCTATTTACACTGCTCGTTTTACTTGCCTAGGTTTATGGCAACTGGTATACAGATCAGAGTACTTTTTCACAAGGAAGTTATAATGCTGTAGGGTCCTTGAAGAAACGGTCGCACTGCATTAGACAACATATAAAAATGAATGTCTTACGCATTATTTACACCGGAAAGTCAAAATGATCTAGTTGTTGCAAACCACCCACGTGTCCTGGTTGTTATAACTTAAGTAGAACAAGAAGCGTGTTTAAGTTTTCATCGGAGTAATGCGTGTGCATCTGAACTTCGAGGACGAAATATGTTAAGCAGAAAGGTGGGAACTTTTGTGGAAATGAGTAAGATGGAATCTGAAGGCTGAATATAAGATGACTAAAATCGCTGGGTGATATGTTTGTATAACAGCTAGATATCTTTTGATACTGAATAACTGACTGAAAAAGGTGAGCATGTTTCTCTTAAAATGCAAGCATGAGATGAACAGTTTGGCATAATATGAATGAAAAGTGGGTGTTTATAAATGTTAGCTTCCGGAAGGCATCAAAAGTGGTGCTTTTTCGTCATTCACTGCGAACACATTTGAATAAATCCCCCGACATGTAGTGGGAACCGCAAGCTCAAAGTTTAATAAGAGCCTTAGGGGGGAATCATACTACTTGTTGGTTTTCAGGTTGTTTGTTTTCAGTGCAAATAGGGTACACGATAAAAGAAACCAGTGAATATCATATCTTCCGGAATCAGCAGCGAGAAAGTGATGGCAATGCAACCACCACAAAGGCACAATAATTAAACAAAATGTAAACTTTTCTTAAAATTATGTCACCAAGTGTAAAGCATATGCCTTGTAGGCTTTTGTGGAAGGAAAACTAACGACTCTGCCCACGGGTGAACAGCAAATTTCAGTTTTTACCAAATAAAAACAAGCATTTTATATAATTATTTAGCTACTGTATGATATGGCAAAACTAGATTTGTTCGCAGAAAAAGATTGACACCAATTTTTAAGTAATATGCGGTGTTCCTGAAAACATCCGCAGGTAACAGTCATGAAGGCACAATTTCGTCGACCACAGGCAGCGTGAATTCGTTTCGAAATCGCAGCGTTCAAACTAGAAAAGTGAAAATAATTAGTAAGAAAATTAGCTTTTTATTAAATGCTACCGTCAATATTGGCTTGGAGTGAGAAACACTGAATAGTTGCACTATTGGCTTTGGCGATTAAGTAACAAAAGTAGCTTGGTCACCATTATATTTCACAGTTAGTATGCAGTTGAATTGAAACCGTTAATTTGAATTTTAAGGAACCTTTCTCATGATGACACAAGAGTTGAATCGTATGTCGGATGTCCACACAGGACGGGTGAATCCAATATTAAGAAAAATGTAGAGGTAAGTAATCCCCCAAAATTTTTCAGCCCATAACTTACCTCATTCGAAATTGGGTGCTGATTTCCACTGTTTAAATCAACTAAATAACATGAAAGTACGTCGTCAAGATTCACTCCCCAAACTACAGTCTAGAGTTTGGCTGTGCTTGCTGGTATTTTAGCCAGCTAGGCAGGCCTTACACTTGTATTTGCATATGGCTATCTCGCCCAGCCATCAAAGTCTTTCATCTTATACGGGAAAATCCCCTTTCACAAGCACTACATCTTATGACCAAACTATTCAAAAGTGATAGTTTTTACGGTATGTTTTCTTATTAACGTGAAAGGCAAAACGAAAGCACACATCACCGATCAAGCACAACTTATTTTCACTCAATCATTACAAAAACCATATTATCGTCAAGTAGCTCTTATCAGGAACGACAGTCGTTTTAAAAATGGGATAGGTATATAACGTGAGATAATATATGAAGATGGTCTGTTCATTCATTCTGAAATACCAGGCTCCTCGCAACATTAATTTTTTCCGGCTGACGGTCACGTAATAATAACACAAGCGCGACGTGTCGCAGTCACAAAACGAGGATTCAAGGACTTTTTTATTCGAAATCAATAATTTTCAAGGCTTCCAAACCTGCCGACTATTCAAGTGTTGTTTAACTGCCTTGGTGCCATAGTTACAAGGTCACTGTTTAGCCTTTCAATCCTCGGGATTTGAATTCTCAGGTAGTTACTGCTTTTGTTTTTTAGTTTTTATTTGTATGCCGAATGTTTCAGTGTGTTTAAACACTGACCAAGAATTTAGAGTCTTTTCTGAATTTAAAAGGGTAAGTTTCAGCGATCAGATAGGAGAAGGAAGTGTACGTATGTCGAATCTGAAACTAAACACTTCAAATTAAACACTTTTCGGACATAGAAATCCTTTCAAAGACCAGTTTTGATATGTCTACTTGTTTTTTGTAATACTCTGGCTGCAAACGGTTCATTTAACTTTCTCGTTTTGGTTTTTTCGTGTTTTAACTTGAAATACTGATTCTATGTTTTTTGATGTGAATGACAACTGTTTCAATGGTTAAAATAAATCGGAACCCTTTAACTTATTCTTGGTGTGTGGATAACTGTATTGCAATTCCTAATACCATTCTGGCGTTGATTATACACATGTGAACATTAGTAATCGAAGTACTGTCATTTAGACACCATAGCGAGAGTAAATAAATTTATTCTCCTTATTTCAGTTTTACACCGCTTAAATTTTGTAAATAATCTATTTATATGAATTTTTATTGTCTCTATAATTGTTTTGTTGATAAATTCACACCTTAAAAACGTCAGGTTGTTATTGTAATTATTTGTAATCGTAGTTTAGAGGTTGACGGATATCTCATTCAGCAACTTCTAATTAATTTATTCTCGCGTACCAAAGACAAAGCAAAAGCCAATAATTGATCGTCCAAACTTCGTAATATATTTCGTAACCAAAACAAGCCGTCAGACGAACGCTTAGCTAGCTAGTGATCGTGCACGTGACACGACGGGGTAGCAAATGGCGGGGATGCTTGACCGGAAGCCTTCAGCTAAACAATTCGACTGAAACAGTAGTGGTCAGCATCCAATGAGTGATTGCTGTGGTCAATAATTTTGGGGAATTATTTACCGCTACAGTAGTATTAGTATTTCGAGATGACCGAATTACACGAATCCAACCAAAATACAGAGAGGGCGGAATTCAGGAATTTGTGTTTAGCGGAATTATTATTCAATTCAATTCATATAAGAAATATATTAACAAGCAACGGTAAGTATTTAAACAATACAGAGATAGAAATAGTCAATCACCACATCCGCCACACGTCGAATATCTCCTTGCGTATTTATAACGATGTCTCGGTTTGCTTGCAAGTAGCTGCGACCTTCTAACTGATTCTGTGATATTATTTTCATCAGTATTATCTGGACTTATTTCTGAATTATCTACAAAATCAGGATTAGTAGCGGAATCATTACAATAATAATTGGAACGACCTACTTCATTTATTGTCACTTTGTCCAGGTGTCTGTTATGAACTGAGTGATCTTTGATGTCTAATATCTTCACCACTCGATTTCCCATTTTTTGTAGTATAATTCCAGCAGAAGGTCTATAGTCATTCCCTTTGTAATAATGTACATTAGAAGTCGTGGACATCAGATGCTTTCAGAGAATTCGAGATTTGAACAGTTTTGCAGGACTTTCATGGGTACTTGTATGCTCTGCATTCAACAGACGCAGTCTATGCATATGCAACAATTCCTCCATTTTAATCAGTTGCTCTCTCATCTCATTCAGTTTTTCTCGTGTTTTCGACAGTTCGCATTGTAACTCGGCTACCACATTTTTGAAAACAGTTGACGCTTGAGTTGCTGAACTTGTAGTGGAGGTTTTCATTGGATGAGATTGAGTATTTTGAAAAGTTGAAAGACACATTGACTCCATTTTACTAGACAGATTGGGAGAAGTGTAAGAATGCTGAGTAACATAAGTATTCGAACTTCTGCAAATAGTCTTGATGTGTCCAACTTTACCACATTTGTGACACTTAGCACCCCGAAAACGGCAAGTGCTTCGTAGATGTAACTTTCCACAGGAAAAACACGGTTTAATGTTTTTGATCTCTGGCTGCATTCTATTACCTGTGGACGACAGTTTGGATTGCTTTCCATGACCACTTGTATTTTCGACTTTGGACAACATGACATCAGATACTGACGTAGTAGGAACAGAGTATTCATTATTGACATCTTCATATGTAATACATAAATCTTTAGCAGTTTGAAAGGTACAAGAAGGAATCTGAATTAACTCTTTCTCTAACTTAGGAATATTGATTCCAGCAATTAGACGATCACGTAGTTGAGTATGCAGCTGATCTCCAAAGTTACACTTTGAAGCTTGAATTTGAAGTTGAAGAATGAAGTCTCTAATCTTCTGATTGGGAGCACGAACCAGTTTATGGAATTGAGCCCTCTCTCTTGTCTCAAAAGTAGTTATATGGAAGTGATGTATCAGAAGTTCACGGAGCTTGTCATATGACAGAGAAATGGGTTTATCTGGAAACGCCAGATTCTTCACTAGGCTATATGCATCTAGCCCAATAGCAGTGATGAAATGTGCTGGTGTTTTGTCATCCCGAACGTTCTTTGAAATGCACCACGCATCGAAGCATTCAAGGTAATCAGCAATCTCCCGTGGAGAACCATTTATAGGGAATTTTCCAAGGTTATTTAGTTCCATCGCGACGCCAATTTGTTGTAATTATTTGTAATCGTAGTATTAGTATTTCGAGATGACCGAATTACACGAATCCAACCAAAATACAGAGAGGGCGGAATTCAGGAATTTGTGTTTAGCGGAATTATTATTCAATTCAATTCATATAAGAAATATATTAACAAGCAACGGTAAGTATTTAACCAATACAGAGATAGAAATAGTCAATCACCACAGTTGTGTAAGATGCTGTCCTGGGAAATCAGCCAGTTGTATGTTATACTACTGAGAGACTTACCGCTTATTCGACTACAGTGTATTTAGACGGTTTAGACTTGATCACTATTACAACTTGGTTAACTAGTCACCTTCTAACGAGCTAATATGAATTCATTTTGTTCATTCATTTATTTGACATACAGGTCTTTGTAGGTATGCTCTGCATTTGATGTAATGTGAAATATTTCGCGAGTGTGAAAACATTGTTGAAATAATGTTGGAGTTTGTAAACTGGTTCATCATCTAAAATGAACACAAATGAGGATTAAAACATAAGAATAGATCTAGAATTTAAACGAAAGGCAAGACTAAAGTAAATGGTCTCAGCAGTCAAGCATAGACTATATGATTAAAAGAGCCTCTGAACATTTTCATAATCCTCGCATAAGTAGCTGTAATTTAAGTTGCGAGATGAGTCAAATAATCCGAAATTAATTTACAAAACTAATCGGAACAATATTAATGAAGCCATAGATATATCTTTTGATAAATATACTTTGCACTAGAATTGTTCTTGTTCATACTGATACATCTTGAGGTCTAAGTAAATAAAAACTGCGAGTAAAAACAGTATGCACTGGAAGGGTTAAAGAATAATTAGGAAGAGTGATAAACTAGCTGGATAAAATTTAGTACAACTTCATGCAGATTTCCAAACATAACAATGATTTAATATCTTATTACAACAGATATTGACAAAACTCAGATCAGTGGCGAAAGGTTTGATAAATCTGTGTAGTATATCACCTCTTAATGAAGCCTGCTAAGTATTGGCTGAAAAATATCCATCACTCATCATTACTATTATTTTTTATCAATCCATAGGTTTTCGAGTGGAACATAGAGCATGAACAGCACTGATTGATTTTGTTCTGTCTCATGTAGTCCTATTCAGCTGACCTCACGATTGCCCATAAGCCTTCATTTCCTCCTAACACGAACTCCTCCATCTCACCCTTGGACGTCCAACTCGTCTATTCCAAAGCGGGTTCCACTCAAGTGCCTGGAGCTAATGTTTAGCATCTTAATGTCATCAAGATGTACTTCTTCATCCTCTGGATGTTTTTATCTGGGAAATGTTTAGCAACTACACTTGAAAATTCATTCAGTCTCCTATATGATAGGTTCTAGGTGTTGTGTATGGGTGTCCACAGCAACCTCGACAAATGTATTAAGAACTTAGTTTTTGTCTGAATCTACTGATATAGGTAGAAGTTTTCTCTCAGTTCGTTATGTTTGATACGATTGTCAGCACCATAACTTAAATATAATCAGATAGTGATTATATTTAAAAGGAACTGTCCTTAAGTAGTGCACTAAGTGTTCATGTCCGAACAAATACTACTTTTAATTATACACCATGAGTCGAGTCCCTTAAGTGTTTAACGGTTAATTAAAACTGATGATGCAATTTCATGTTTTATTTTAACTTATACACAATCAACTTCTATTTTGTCTAACCTACAGAGAAGTTATGGAGTAAGAACTTTAGTGATATTCTGATAGTATTGGAAAAAGAAGTTAAAGGTAGTTACATTGAACTGTTTACCTTTTATAATTAAAGCATCAAATTCTATTGGTAATATGTCATAATAGCTTACTAATTAAATTTTTGTTATGTTCAATAGTGTCAGCTTTTGAGATGATGCGAATTAAATTCATTAAACAGACTCTTTCACTTTGATGTAGTTCACTCTGTCCTCATGTATGGCTGTGACACATGGCCATTGTAAGTGGAAGACATGAAAAGTCTAACTGTCTTTGATCATAGGTATCTGCATTCTGTCTCCCGTGTGAAGTGGTATAATAAGGTGAGCAATATTGAGGTTAAGCGTCGAGTAGGTTGGGTGGGAAGTCAATAGACGAGGTTATGGTTAGACTATGTGTTACTTATGCCTAGCCGTCGCCTTCTTCGACAAGCAATCTTAGCTGACTGACATAAGATCAATTTAGGAAAGAGGTAGTGGTGGTCAAACGATAACATGGCTTCACCAGTCAATGAAATCCACAACAGTTAGTTTTAAGCCAGTCATGCTGGGAGGTGTCGACTGCTTGGTTAGGGTCCTCGGAATGGTAAGAGCAATATCGCCTGGAGACAGTTGGTGATATGGCCGAAAATTTTTCTTAGTGACGTAGATGCATTCACTATTTGGAGTTTGTCAAATACCATAAAACCCCATTGTCCTCCCTTATTACTGTTCTTTTTACCTCACACTTCTGTTTATTATCTTTCTTTTGATGAATTTCTCTTTATTCTCCTCCCTTTTTGTGCTACATAGGGAGTGGTAACTGGGACTTTGCACAGATGTAGAAAGTTCTATGGTGAAACCAGTCAGTCAGTCAGTTCCACTATGAAATCAACACTAGTTTACTGTATGTACTGAATCTTCGTTTCATTATTAATAAAACCTTGCAAAGACAAGTACATCCAGTAACATCTTTTAGTGGCATAAGGAAGTGAAACTGTCGGATCCACTTCCCCCCCCCCCGCCAGTTTGCAAGAAAATATGTGGCGTCATACCGTTTTTTTTCCAGTGCTTGTCTTATATCTTTTATTTGGTTGCCTACAGTTTGAATTCAGACATTAGTTGCCTACCTTAATTGCAACCCTAACGAATTATCAACACGTTGTCCAAACAGTACTTAAAACCGAAATTTGTACCTTACTTTATGAACAGCATTGAAAATGGCTCCATAAAAATGACTCGTCTCGTTATTTCAATGAATAGTATGCGTTCAGGGTCACTGATGCGTTTGCACTCCTAGACTGTGGTACTTTATCTTGGCTGTCTCATTCCATTCAGTCTTTAATTCAGTAACTGTGATAAGTGTATGGCAAAAGCATAATCATTGCTTATAGTAATTAAGTCTTTCATTCTGAATAGTCTTGGCTATGAAAGTATTCCAGCAGAATTTCAAATATTTCTATAGGAATACACTCTGTAAGGTGTTATGAGTGACGAAGTGATTTCCATTCATAAATATTACTGGATTATTTTTCCTCGTGTTTGATAATTAGTATTCATTATAATAAAAGTTTTTTTTGTATTTCCCAATGAATGAAAAACAAGACGATATTGTTCTGTTTACTGACGTTTCGCTATTTAATGCTAATAGCTTTCTCAAAGTATTATTAAACCGGAATTTACAAAATCTCAGAATATATATAACAAAGAGTTAGGGGGTGAGAAAAAATGTGTCGACTTAGTTCAACTTAAAAGGATATATTGAAAGTCAAAATAACAATGAAGATCGTTCAAACCAAATATCAAAGGTAATAGTATATCTGTTATTATATCAAAACAAAGTTTACTAACTTGATCATCGTTCATTAGTCTGGGGTCATTTTTAGTTGTGAAGTTGGCGAATTGGTAAAGATAACAAAATCAAGTGTAGATTGTTGGATTTTATCAGTGTGTGGAATTATAAAAGTAGTGTGTGTTCACATACTGAACTTTCTCATCACATTCGAGTTAATTTTGTCACTCCATGGGGAGGGAGGTGTTGTAACCAGGTCAGATTCTGTTTTAGTCCGTCATTCCTATTCAGACAATTTGGATTCCACTTGATATGAAGTGCTTCTGATGTTAGACGTTCTTTGTGGTTTCTGAAGTTTTTCTGGATTATTTCAATATTGTCAAAATCAATTTTGTGGCCTGATTCTATAGCATGTAAACCTATGGCTGATGGTTTTTGAGGTTTTTCTAGTTCAACTGGATTTCTTGGTGATCGAAGAAAAGAAAACCTTTATTATAATGAATATTATATACCCAATGCCCAAATTTTTTCAAACCGTTAAAAGTGAACTTGGTTTGGACATATATAAGATAATTAGTATTATTTTTTTTTAACGAAATATATTCAGTTTCAGTGTTTTGAATAACTTTTTCTAGGTAGTTTCTTCCCCTTCAATGAATCACAGATTTCCACCAATTGACGATTACAAAAATAAACATTAATCCATTGCACTACACAATCATGATTGGAGAAGCTAATTCCAATAAATTTAAATCAGTTTTCTACAGTGTTGGAAGTAAACCATTGGAAATGTGGACTCAACATGTAGCTTATCCGTTTAAATAATACAGTAGACTTATCTTGCCTTCAGGTTTCCAATGGTCGTGTATGTCGTATGACAGATGAAGAAATCCAGTCGTATGTACTGGAAATATTAGGGCAAAATATAAGGTTAGATCATTTCTTTTTTGTTTACCTACTGCAAAAAAATATTCCTTATAGTACAACATATATTACTTGCCCAAGTGATACTAAAAAGAGTCTTGCTATTAAAATGCCTATACTGGTTATTGTATTAAAGAATTTGAATAAATATTTTACTTTTGAAGTTCAGGTAAGCAAAAGTATTCATGAAATTATTTATTGTTTAGATTCTTGATGATCAAAATTTACGACGTAGATTTCATGCAAGTACTTGTCAAAGTGCTACACTTGTTAAACCATTTGCTTGTATGATGCCAATGAAACTTGATGATGGATGGAATCAAGTACAATTCGATTTAGCTGATTTTACACGAAGAGCCTATGGGACTACATATGTAGAAACAGTGAAATTAAGTGTAAGTTGACTCTAGGAATTATATTTCACATTTATAAACGCCTTAACCTTTTTACGTAATCCACTGATTTATGGTTATGTGGATGTTTTGTTCAGTTCTAGTGAGATATATATCAGTTTTTCTTTGTGTTATTTCCTGATATGAACTCACATAAAAGGAATTAGATTTGAAATAAAAAGATCCCTATGGATTTACATAAATATTTGTCAGTCTCAAAAGTTATTCTCCTCAGATAAGAATTGAAATTCTAGATTTCATTATGAACCGACATCGGTTAGGGATCATTGGAAAGCCAGCAAGAAGTACTGGACAGCTGTTTCTTCAACTCAGTTTGGGAATCTCCAGCGGTTCGCACTTACTGAAGTTCCAATCCAGGACCTTCCGGTTTCAAAGCCAGCTTGTAGAGCATTAAGCCACTGGACCTGGCTAGGTGGTCTTTGAATTCCAACATCTGCCAATTCATGATATAGCGCGACCACTGGCGAATGTTATCGCTAGCGGTTATTTGTCCTTACACTCGACCTGCTGTGCCTCACCAATCAAGTCCCTGCCAACCAACACTTGAATATCAGTCTGATGCTCATGGCGACGACTGGCCGTATTCAGGTAGATAGTTACCTGGCTTCTAATGGGAAGTCGTGAGCAGTGAGGTGCTGCTGGGTCGGGTGTGAGGAAAAATGCCAGTCGGCCACGACATTCGCTAATGTTTGCTCCATGTCATGAATTGGTGGAAGTTGGAATTCATGGGCTGTCCATTGGATGGGTCCGATTGGCTTAATTGTTTAAGAGGTCGCCGTGTAACTGGAAGGTCCTGGATTCGAACGGTGGGGGGGGGTGGATGGATGCTGATGAAGAGTCCGAAACTAGACCGACGAAACAGCTGTCCAGTACTTCTTGCTGGTTTTCTCATGATTCTCTAACCGATGTCAGTTCATAATGAAATCCTGGAACCAAGTCTTCTTGAGGAATAATGGCAGTAGATAAGCTGATTTTACAAGTTTGACACAACTACTTCTGAGAGATTTTGTTGGTCTCTTAAATTGTAGGATACAGTAATTTTTAGGACGCTTGTCACCCATTGGTTAAATCGCTTGATATTTAATTGGATGAATTAAAGGTTGGAATTCTACTAGATTTACTAATGTCTAGAGATAACCAGAGAGTGTTATTTTATTTCTTACAAATAATGTCTGACTAATTGTCCATTGTAATTTTACTGATCTACCAATAAATATACTTTTAATAGACTTTTAAAATTTACACTATGAGAAATTTTCAGTCACTAACATTAATTACCTACTATGAAACTATTACCGATTCCAAGGTAATGTGTGTTGTATTTCACCCAAATGTTGAGAAAAGAGAAAGAAAAGAAATTCAAAAGAACCATGACGAGAAGAAGTGTACTGGTGAAAGGATAGTCAGGTGGAGAAACGCAAGGACTTAATGAAGAATACAGGAGATGGCAAAGAGTGAATGAATATATGTCAGCAATAATCTTCAGCCATTGATTATTGGCATCCTAAGGGACCCAGAAAGCAGTCTCCTACCCCCTAAGTGGCTGGCTCAAGGCATTTGTCAAAGGCTTCATACACTTATTTCCCTTTATGAATCTAAATAAAGCAAAAAACATATGTTTGTGTGGAATAACATGTGGCCATCATCCATTTCCTTGGTTTCTCTTCAGCTGCATACAACCTAAAAGTTTATCATCTTATTGGACATAGAAATTTTAACACTATAAGCAAGTGTTACATGATTTTTAGTTAACAGAGTCAAAATAACTAATAAACAATGCTCAGAAGTTGTAAAGAGGTCAAAGTTTATACGGATACATTATTGGAAATTACTGAGTTGTACAATCAAGACAAGAGGTAAGAAGTTGATGATAAGTAACTAATCAGTTGCGTAATAATGTATTGAGTTCAACTCAACAAGAGTCATAGAAGCAAAAATAAGACAAACTAAATTACGTTGAAGCAGAAGATTATGCAATCAAATAATGAAAGGAAGAGATAAGACACTGATTTACGATGGCAAAGAAAGACTGATAAGTGAATCTTTCTGAACGCATAAATCAGGTGTTAAACGTTTGATAGCGATTATTATTCTAGCCAATTCAAAGAGAGTTGAGTTACACTGTCTATTAATAATCTTGAAGGATTTCATGGTATCCACCTCATGACACGTGTCAACAAGATGTCTGCCAGTAGCACTGCTCAAGGCATTTGTTCCCTTGAGATTTTAGGTGATTTTGGTACATGTTCAGAGGATCTAAGATATGCCCTTTCTTTCTGTTCTTCCAATGTGACTGCTACTGCAAATTCATGTAAATTTGTGTATATAGTTAGAGTTAACAAGGGAAGGGTATCTATCAACCTTAGATTACACCAAAGAGTATGTTATTGGATAAACGGGAACCATTTTCACCGCAGGATAGGTTCTGACTAGAGGAGTAATCAACCTTCCGTCGATTATTCTTGCAATATTACCACCTTTTGAAACAGAGTTAAGTGAAAACAGGTTTCTTAATAACTATGGTTTGTTTTACATTTAGATTTTTTCCGGTTTTTTCACACTTGTTAATGGATTTTGAGGAGTGTGATAATTACTTCCCAAAATTTTTTTTCCTAAGGTTCAGAAATCCTTTTTCCAGTTTTTCAGGACAGCATATTCTTCTGGTTCTGTAAAACAGAGTTTTTATCAGTGCTCGTTTAAAGCTTATTGGATGGAACTTTTAGGTTGTTCGCAGCTGAATGCAGCTGATAACCTCATCTTATTTTGCAGAAACCTCATAGACTGATCCCAGGTATTGATCTGATCACTCCTAAGTTCTTTTCTAGCATAATTCTATGTCAGCCAACATTGCTTATCTAGGAAGGAAAGGGGTGTCCTGGTGCATATGATCTGTGCCCTAACCATCTCAATCTATGTAGCTCCACAACCTCATCGAGTGACTTCCCTTGCCTATCTAGCACTTTAAACTTAACATCAATAATGCTCACTATATTACATCGTTTAATACGTTTAACTTAGCGACAAGCATTGTCATAATTCCACAGAATCGTAGGAATGTCAGAAGTAACTCTGATTCACATCATATACTTTGCTAGATACTTTTGTTTTATTCGTTAGATAAACTAAATACCGAAAAACTGGCAGTTTAAAATTTTTTTTAACGTCATCAGCATTTTCATTCCTTGAGTTTCGAGTGAAACATGGGCTTCAAGCTTGAGGTAGGCTTGAAATTTCAGTAGCTGTGGTGTTGTCCATTTGAATGCTGAGGAGTTACTAGGCTAACTCCCTACCTTTTCTGTTCTTGCTACCGGTGAAGTGAGGTTTATGAGTGCATCAACAGGGAATTAGACTCCAGAATACTTGGGTGGTTGCTGAGCATTCTACTGATGAACCACCAAAGCACAGTCATTCGCATGCTAGACGTCATATTTGAAAGCTTCTCTAAAATTATAAGTTTGTGATAATTACTTTCTCTTCATTAGCTGTAAATTATTAGTTCTTAGATAAGTATCTCTTATCATAAGTGATGGTTTAGTACTGATATGTATCCACATATATTTATGTGTGTGTGTGTATGTTGGTCTCTCTTTCTGTTTGCTCGCTTAGTCTGTGACCATTTCACTTGTATGAACCTGTCTCCTTTAACAATGTATATTCTCCTTATATTATATATAATATGAGTGTTTGTTGACAGTCCGTTGCTTGGTGACATATATCCATATTATGTGTGGTTGTTGACATGTCTGCTATATTTCGCTATGTATATATGGATCGATACTTCATTATAATTAGCCATTCATGTTAAGACTGTCTAATGATTGTTCACACCCTTGTTATATATATTTCGCATTCACAATTTGTGTGACTTACACTTACCACTTTAGTGTGATACCACTTATTGCTTCTCCTTGTGTTTGGAAAATAGTAGTATCATCGCAAACCTAGTGGTCTTCTGATTTCCGCCTTCTTGCGTCAGGACTATTAGTTTCTCGACCAGTCCATAACAATAATTTAGCGACGAGTACATAACAAGTACATAATGCTTTGGCGTTTGAAACGATGACTATGAGGTTCGAGTCTGAGTGGGAACACCACTTACTGGTGACTCAGATGCAACCAGATGACGAGCCCCAAATAGGACGAAGTGTGCATCGTGGATTCCACCGCTAGTCACCATCAACTAAAATAACATTTATTATCACATATCACTATATCTTTTAGTATCGATATTAAAAATATGTAATCGATTACATATCTTTTCGATTCATAGTAGTATTGAAACGGTAGAAGACGAAGACTCGGTAAAGGAATGTTTATTTGGAAACCAGTATCTCTATATATCCAAATAATGAATACCTTATTTTCAACGTACCATTTGCACAGATTTTCGTGTTGTGGTACTTTTGGATTGCATATTATGTTTGTTCCATTCACGTCTCTCATATATCTCCACAACTGTGTATATCGTTTGCCTTCTCTGACGTCAACTGTATCTCCCTGCTATTTGATGTTTTTATGCCGATGAAAGTCTATTGATACATCTTGTCAGTAGCACTCACCGCAGTATAATGTCATAAGTAAGTATAAATGTTCTCGACAAATGAATTACTGGTGAAATGGTGCAAAACTGTTCTCACTGACACAGATTTACTCACTTCTTGTGATATTTTAGATTCTGGAAATCTTTATTCTCTCTCCACCGCGGTTTCGTTTTTACTTGAGTTTCATTGCAGTTTTCGTGTCTACATTCAAGTGTAGAGTTGATGAAATGAACTGCTACATTTTTGGCCAAAGTTCCATGTTGATAATTCGCTACAGTTTAATTCATTTCTCGATAAGCGGTATTGTAACAACAGAAGACAAGGGCCAGACAACAGATCGTTTATATTAAGGAAATCAACACATATTTATAGATTTTCATGTACATTATTATAGATTATTGTTAGCAGAACAACACAGTCTTCTGATTAGTTGTTTCTCAC